TTGTTTGGCAGCACTTCACAAGATCAAATCAGCACTTGGTTTTCCAGCAGAGCACTTCCAAGAAATCCCACTGGTGATGAAAGTTCCTAGGTAGACAAAAATATCTGAGGTCTAGGCTGCAGAGCAGCCACAGCAGACCACAGTCTTGAAAGAGGAGCAGATCTGGGAATACTGCTAGGGAATGTCCTGTACTGGCCATCAGAGAGCATCTAAACCAGGCAAGAAACAGGCACCCAGCTTAGCATCATCCCCCTGAAGTCCAGCCCATCAGTGGCAGAGGCATGTTTTCTGTCCAGAAAAAGAACAAAGTCACGGGAACCTGGCAGATAATCACTGCTACGATACAGTCTTACCCCATGGCTGAGGCAGGAGACCGCCTTGCAAATTGGTTCGATCAGGTAGAAAATGGAGTTTCATGAGTGGATGATGCAAAGCAAAGACTAATAGTATTAATTTCCCTGAGCGCTGCTAGGTGTGAAAGCTGAAAGCTACTAATGAGGACTCTCCAGATGGGAAACTACAAGGGCCAACATTTAAGTGGAATTTAATGCAGATAAGTCACTTTTATCTCCTGCAGGGGACCAATATTGCTAATTTAATGCCAAGTTCCTTTCACATTTCCTTTTATTTGGGACCATATTTCTCAGAGTCAGATAGCAATGGCCACGCTACTGTATTATCTTTAGTCTTCTAAGTCAAGAGTAGTGACTGTGGGTACCCACCAGTGCTGGATGTAACCCAGAGCGGCTAGGAAAGAGGGGGACCAGTGCTGACTGCTGGCAACAGGCAGCCGCGCGTACTGCACTGCAGCAATTTGGTGGGGCTTTCATGCACAGTCCTAAGAGTTTCTACAGTCCTTGGATACTTTCTTCACTGCACAGGAAACATTGGCAAGTGCCTCGATGCTCTTGATTAAAGGTTAGACTTGCCCTCCTGGAACGTGGTTCTGTTTTTTGCACTTACTTCAAAGCGGGAGAGTTTAAAAGATCCAGGAGCAATTGTTTAAAGCAATGACTGAGGTTCTCTAAGCCTAATTACTCACACTTCTGAAAGAGAAATATGAGTATAGCAATATCAGTAAAAGCCCAGGATATGGTTCCTTGTTGCATCACTAGGGGCACAGACTCGGCAGGGGACTTCCCACAGCGCAGATGAAAAACACGAGGGGAATTACCATCTCAGAAGTGCATCCTCCTCCTCTTCTGAGCCAGTCATCCAAAGGTTTCGGAAGACCTGTCCTTGAGCGTGGCATTGCTTTAGCCTTCGGCAGGATTTACTGCCTCTGAGCTTCTGCTGTGGTGATCACAGGGATCTCATCCTGTTTCCAGGGCTCCCAGAAGGTGACTGTTCTCCCTCCGGGACACTCGCCTGCAGGGCTGCCAGCTCCCATAGGTGGCTATCCAGCAGATGGCATCCACGTCCAACGCTTGTGCTGGAGCTTCACTTTCCTGAGGGCTTCTCTTGTGCTTTACTCATCTCAGGGTCTGTTTTTTCATTAATGCCAACTTTTCATTTGAATGTTTAATGCCCTCCAAGCAATTTATTTTAAAATTTCAAAATATTCACTGATTTAGTGCTCTTTTTGCTATCCTTATTCCTTCCCAAGAATAAAAATCACTTATCATTCCTCTGCATTCAATGGCATAGTGTGGGACCTTTTATAGAAGGACCATCAGAAAACAGAATTATTAACAAAATTATGAAAAAAATACTTGAGATCTGTCCATCTCAATAGTGGAAAATTTGTGGGGTATGGGCTGGCAGTCTGAGAAATCAGGGCACATTGCATCTCCATAATCTTTATACTTGGGGAAAAATAGGTTTTGTGGGAGGGAACAGGAGTGCTGAGGAAGTTCAAATAGCATTCCCTGACAGTCTCGCTTTCCAGCCCAGATATCTGGCAAGCGGAGGCAGTGGGTTGGGGTGTAACAGTCATTCTCCAACAATGGAAGTGTTGCAAAATATGTAGCACCGCATATTAAAAAGGGATTAGGACTGGGGAACCACAATATGTAGGAAGATGGGAGCAGCCTTTGAGCAGAGCCTCAGGCACTGTTGCGGAAACATGTTTTCTGGAGCAGGATTACAGCTATGTTACAGGCATTGTTTGCCTGACAAACCAACCCATAGATACGATCCCCAGCTTCCACACCTCTGTGCAAATCCTGCTATGCCCCAGACCCCAAGAGCAACCTTCAGCCCTCACAACGTTGCTGAATATAAATCAAGTTCTCGTCTGCCAGTGAAAATGTAGGGGATTACGAGTTGTGCCCCCTTGCTCTGCAGGCACTGAGGATAACCAAGTGGAACCCAAACTGCTGTGAAGGTTAAGAGACCCAGTGGAAAAGAAACTTCTGCCCAATCTCTATCATGTTCTAAATCTTCTCTTCTCAGGTTTCTAAGTCTTGGATTACACCCAGGAATAGACTGTTGTTTATTAATTAATTCCCTTTGGGGCTGTTCAGAGCTGTATTTAACAGCAGTCTTATTCTGTATTTGTTGGTCCACTGTTGCCATAAGGATGACAAGCAGGAACTGGTGTGGTGGATAACTCTGGCTCTAGCCCACGGTCTGTCTGATCCAGCCTTGACAGTGCCCTATCCAAATACCTCAAACGAGAGGGCTGGATCCTTTGCCGTGCAGAGTTACGGAGTATCTGCCTCACTGAAGAGGTTCCTCCCAGTCTGAGTCAGTAGTGGCTGCTTTACATTCTGGAACATGAGGTTTTCATCCCTCTAAAAGTAATGGAAAGGTGGACAACGCAACCCACAAAACTCTAGACCTCAGTAATTAGACACCCACAAGGTAATTACGCCCTGTATGAAAAGAAAAGTGTAAAAAGCGATTGCGAAAGTAATTCTTATCAGTTTAAAATGCTGCCTTTCAGTGCCTCTGGCCAAGTAACACCTTGCTTTTCTAGTCTCTCTTCCTCCAGCAGATCTCAAAGCCCATTGCAAAACAGGACGCTGCCATTGCCTTCATTTAAAAAACGTAAACCAGATGAACCTGAGCTCACCTTGCTGCCCGTCACAGACCTGCCGCAAACCTGGGACAGAATTTTTCCCAGGTCCCACCTGATGCTGTGCCTTGCATCATGACAAACCCACCACAGAACAGCTCTTGTCTGACAATTCTTTCCCTTACTCTAATTTCTAGACTAAAAAAATACCCCAAAACTCCATACTTTCATTCTTTACATCCTCACTTACTCTAAACACCTCCTTCTTCTCCTGGATTATCCTTGCAATGCAGTGACCAGAGGCAGCGCAGACCTCCCCACGCTCTCCTGCCTTTGGCTCAAGTCTTGGCAGGAGCACACGAGCCATTTCCCAGCCTGTTCCTTTGCCTCCCTCTCTATTTCAACTCAGCTTAATACCAAACCACAGAGCACTTTACTCTTAGGAAGAGCATTTTGATTGAAGTTTGTACTGGACTATAAGCCAACACTTAGTCGAATGCTACAAGGACAGGACATGTAACTTCCTAAAAATAGTGGAAGAAGCTAAATTTATTTCTTAAAATTTCTTAAATTGAGTTTGAAGGTAAAAAGTAAGTTAAAGGCTGGACACTAATTTCTAAAACAGCAGTTTTCTAGAAGGCAGGCTGAGTACTGTCTCTTTAAGGGACTTTTGTACACATTTTTTTTTTAACTGAAAATGATTCCCTGTTAGTTTTAAGAGTAAACCAATGAACACAGAAAAAGTTATATTAAGAAACACTCAAAGGTGACCCATGTTTGCAACAGCCCCACAAATAAAGAGTGCTGTGTGCTGGTGTGCTCTCTGTGTACAGCCAGCCCTCACTGCCCACCTCTGCGCCGCTGAGCTGGGCCACCACATCTACAGGCGAAGAAAATGCCGAGGACATGTCCCAGCCTCCTCCTGCTCATGAAATGCACTTTACGGCTCTGCTGAGCCAGTTCCTGACGAGTGACGTGCCCTCAGCCTGCGGGGACACTGACAGCGGTGAGAACACATTCTGGAGGCTGCGAGGACCCCACTGCTTGCAACCATGTCACCATCATTCTGCTGAAGTATAAGCAGGCAATTTCAGACACTGTTTTCCGCATAGCTGAGTGCTTCAGTTGTGCAGACACGCAGCCCATGCACACAGCCGTCCCAGCAGTGGAGGGACCCTCACTTTATTTTGGGGGGTGCCCAGGGGCCGAGCTAACCACAGGAGCGCCCTGGGGGTACGCACCGGTGAGCAGGACAGTGTCTCTGCTCTCTCCTCTGCCAACATGCAGTTCAAAGTCTGAATTGGTGCATTTTCTCATTTTCCAGTCCAAGGAGGACACGGCGACAGAGCTTCGGGCAGGAAGGGGCAAATCAGAGTCTACTCCTACTCTAGGATAATCTACGATAAACTTCCTACAGTTTGGAACAGTGTCGTGAAATCCAGAAAGCTGAGAGGGAAAAGGTATTATTTTTGGCTGAAAGTCTTTATAGCTGATGCAGGAACTCTCTTGTTAGTTACTCATTGCCTCGGCAAGTCTCATAAAACAGCCAGCAGAGCCCAGCAAATACTCTTCTTCAGTATTCTGGGAGCTCAGAAATCCAGGAATTGAACGAGGCCTTGAACCCATTTTATGGACTCACTTCTTACTGAGCTACCATAAAATATTAAAATTCAGACCTTATAAATAAGGAGGGGAAAGAGCTGTGCATTTCTTAGCAGAAGCAGCCTCTCCAGAGACTCTTCCCAAGGTAAGTCCGGTGCTACACGTCCCAGAGACGGGTTCCCCTGAGAGACAGTTGATTGGCGACAATGAACTCATGAAACAGAGATGAGAGATGTAAAACCCCCTTGACTCGGCTCTACAGTGGAAAAGGTCCTGCAACAAATCGACTTAGTTTATTCCCTGGTGACCCCGTCCCCGTCTGCGAGGGCTCTCCCCAGGGTGTCTGATGGCAGCAAGGAATTAACCCCCTGCGAGTCCCGAGCAGAGGCAGCAACGCTGTGACCCTCTCTCCAACAGACGCCGGCTGTGCTCCTCCGAGATGGTGCAGAGAAGCAACCTCGCAGTCCCCTTTGAAGTGCCTGTCCTGGCCCTTTGCTTTTTGGCATGCGTAGCCACAGGTAAGCAATGGAAAAAATCCGTCGTGGCTTTGTCTGTCACGCCGACACGCAAAACTGTCCGGGGTTGGGCAGTGCCCAGGGTGATGTGCCACACAGCATCCCAGCTTTCAGATGTTCTGGAGGTCATCCACACAGGACTGCCTAAAAACTGGCCTCTGGTTTTGAGTAGCAGAGAAGGGAGGAATGCTTCAGCGTTTTCCAACATTATTGCAGCAGCTGCACAGGGATGACAAGGCCACCGTTTTCAAACCTGCTCTAAGCAGGGAAAAGCTTAGATAGCTTTGGCCACCTGGGAACACCAGGGAAGAGACAGGGAGCTTCAGACTTATATTCACACGACTATAGTGCCTTTATATTCTGAGCTATGTTTTTAGTTCATTCATCTATGACACAGGCTACAGTAGCGAGTTTCAGCCCGTTACAAAAATTTATTTCCCATACTGGTTCTTCATTTAATATATCCTGAGATTTTATACGTTGGACAAACTGCAACTTTCCAACAGCCGGACTCAGACTGGCTGGGGAACAGCTGAGGAGCTGATTAACTAATTTATATTCTCAAGCGCATTCAGTTCCAACCGAAAACCAGCGTATCAAACTGTGGGGACAAAACCAGAGGGCACAGGTATCCTGCATCGGTGACTTGCAGCAAGAGGGTGAGCAAGACTGGCAGGATGGAGGTGATCTTTTGCTGTGGGTGTTACATGGTCACTGCTGGTTTTCAGATATTTTCTTATTACAGGTAGGCTTTGGCGTTGTTGCAATCAGTTGCAAAAGCCTGACTTATTTTAAATAACCGTGAAGGGAGCTTTGTGATGAAGACACCTCTTGTCTCAAAAACTGAAGTCCCACCTGAAAACAGCTGTTAGACTGAAGCCTGAAACTCAGTCCCTTCTCCAAGGTCCAGGCCTGGAGAAGCTATCAGGGCAGCTTTTGTGGGAAGGGTCAGCTTAGGATGCTTAGTGCCCTCGTTCTCCTTTTGCAGGTTTGGAACTGTCTGTAAATAACCACGCTGCTGACTTCTCCCTGTCTACATTGCCTGGCCCTCCCGTCTCTCTCTCCTGCCTAGTACAGAACAGCAGCCAGGCTGAGGAGCTGCTCTGGTACCGAGGAGATGGGAAAGTGGATCTGAAGGATGGGAATAAAGTGAACATCAGTAACATCTGCGTATCCCCAGTCACCGAGTCTGACAACGGAGTCACCTTCACGTGCAAGCTGGCGCGGGACAAGTCTGTCCGGGTGTCTGTGATCCTGGATGTCCAGTGTGAGTTGCAGTGGTGGATATCTGTGCAGAATGGCTGGGGTGGGATGAAATCATGGGCTGAGCACCTCGGTGTCTGGGCACTAGGTGAAGGCGGGGTGTTTTGCACTCTTGTACACTGTCTTCATCACGAAAAAATGCGTTTAGGAGGAGATAACTCATGTGATAAGACACTCCCTTTCCATAGTGGTGCTTATGGCCTGATCTAATGCCTCTATAATAGGGAGTGGGTGGGCCCTTAAGTAAGAAGATGTTCTGGATATGTCCCTGCCTCCACCTAGATTCTTTCTCAAGGATACAAGTCAGGGCAGAGGAGTCACAGGAGTGACCGTCTCTGCCGCTGATTGCCCTGCTGATTCCCGGGGATCACGAATGGCTGCACAACTGTGGTGTGTTACACCACGCAACAAGGTGCACAAGGGATGTGTAAAGGGAACTTATTTGGTATTAAATGGTGAGCAGCATTATTAATGACCTGTTAAACTGCATTACTGTGAACAGTTCCTCCCCAGCTGACTGGAGAAGAGTCCCTCCAAATCGAAGAAGAGAAAGATGTCACTCTGTCCTGCAATGCCAAATCCAACCCTCAAGCCCAAACAGCTTGGTATAAGAACAACAACACCTTGACCCTACAACAAAATCGTTACCAGCTGTACCAGACTAGCGAGGTCTTTCAGCTCGCTATCAAAAAAGTACAGAAATCTGACAACGGGACCTACACCTGCATGATGAAATCTTCTTTGGGAGAGGGGAGAAAGGATTTCCACCTGATAGTTGAAGGTAACAAGGCCGCTGTCAAACAATAAGCTTTACAAATAACTCTCCATTCTTTTACAGTGATAGCAATCCATTTCTATTAAGAAGTGTAAGTGGAAAGTGGTAAATTTCCAGTGTTAACTTCTGAGGGCACAGCAACAGCAAGGAGCTCTCCTTGTACCTGTGCCTGGGACCACAGCACCAGGAAGGGCCTTTCCTGCTCTACCTGTTATTCAAAGGCATTTGGCAAGCGTGACCTGAGGCGGGCTTATCCCACTGTCTCACTTCCCAAGCTGACAGGGCACATTCAAGTGTGGTTTAAAGCACCTTAGGTCTTACTTGAAGCTTCTTACTCCAACCATAGTATTCTGTCATACCGAAAGAGCTGCTTAAGGCAAGAGGGAGTAGTTGTCCTCCAGAAGTGACTAAAGCCCTGTGGACAACAGGGAGGTGGAGGCCTTGCAGGGGCTGGATGCTCAAGTCTCACTCACAGGTGAGGTGACCCACCAGACCCACCAGGCATCCATTTCCCACCTGCCCAGGCCCCTTTCATGTCTGCAGTCTGGGAACAGGGAGGAAGGCAACGTTAGCTGTGCCAGTGATACAGCTGGACATCCTTATTTCCATGCGCAAGAGTGCCTTGGGGATCTTCTTCAGAGACTGACATTTCAATTCTTCCTTCAGTTCGCTCCCTTCTTTCCAGGGGACTAACCCACACAGGCAGTCTGCAGGCAGCAAGGAGAGCAACAGTTCAAATCAGTAGTGACAGCCATGGGAAAAGAAATATGTCTTTCCACAGTTCTGTGAAATGTTCTGTTTTATATGACAGCACCAATCTATCAAATATTCAACCTCCTCTCCCTCTTGACAGATAAAAAACCTGTTTTTCCCAAGGAGGCTGTTATTGCTGCTGTTGTGGTGGTTACACTCACAGTGCTTTTTGGAATTGTGGCTCAAAGAGATAAAATTTTTAAGGTATGGAAAGCCCTAGTTTCTTAGGAAAAATTTAGTATTGTTTTGCTGCAATGCCCTGTTTTCTTTTTACCTTTTCTACGCTACTTTGTAGTGTTGCTTTCCACTGTTAGAGAACTGCTACATACTACCTCCTGCTTTAGAATTACCAGTAGGTAAATCAAATATTAGATATCTTAAGGTGGAAGGCATTATGCACTTGCAAGATATTCATAAAAATATCCCTATGGCCAGGAAATACAAAAGATAATAAGACTGTTTCTTTATTTTCAGTGCTTCAAACGATCAAGTGAAACAGCTCTGTAAGTATTTGACTGCTTATTCATGCAGGTTCCAAAGGAACCCCCTTCTTTAAGCCTTGGCAGAACCTGGGAAAGAAAACAGCACTCAGCACGCTAAACCCAGCCACGCTGAGTTACCGAGCTCTTGTTCTGGCTGGCTAACATGAGCCTGGACCTTCTCTCCGCGCAGAGAGGCCCCACGGGGCAGAGGTGCATGGGAACACGGCAGGACGCACGCAGATCCCGCCCCAGGCACGGCAGGGCTCCTGCCCTTGCCCTGGCCACCCCAGGGTCCTGGCTACGCCTGTGGGGAGGCAGTGGGGAAAAAACATAACAGCGTATCCCCAGCCTGCTGAAAGCTTTCTGGAGCTGAATGCAGCCCAGGTGAATTCAACTCACTTGTTTTTTTCCCTTGTAGGTAATTTTTCCTTTCTTCTTTTCATTTTGCTGCAGGTAAAGACCACAAGGTTCCTGTGCATACCCAGAAAACATCATTTCTAGTGGTGGAACATAAGCCCTTGTGGGAGATGATGAGATAAAGCACTGAAACAAGTTTTTCTGGGTCAAGTTTATACAGTCTTTTCAAAATATAAATGGTTCTTTGCATCTGTTCATTCTAACCTACTGCTTACAGCACCGCCATGGGGGGTGGGCTGCCTGAGCTGTTGATAGATCTCGCCTTCTATGCTTATTCCTGAAAGGTATGCACGTGCAGTCAGGCATGCAGCTTGTCGATCGGTGCACAGAGGAATCCATACCGAGTTGCCACAGATGATGATGTTGATCTACAAATAAAGTGAGGTGTTGAGCTGGCAGCTGCTTTCTTGGCCCTGTCCTACGGTGCCATTCGACAGGGTGTTAGGTGTGGTGGCCACCCAACTTGTTGCCTCTTCCTGGTAATCCTATGGGCATCTCAGCTTCTGTTGGCCAGGGTGAAAGCTGCCTGGCACTTTGTACTGCTGTTGCACCTCCCGTCTCCTTTGGCTGAGAGCAGACCTCAGGGCTCGGGGCAGCCCCAAGCGCTCGATAATACACAGTGGAAATTTCAGTGTGAATGCTCCAGCACCGCGATGGCAGGAAAACCTCTCTATCCTGCCCCACAACAAATACGCCACTCAAGCATTTTTCTCAAGGTCCTGGCAAACTTTTAAGGCCTCATCGTGTCTTGGAATGGTACGTTACTAATACCGTCAATAAACACCGTGTGCTGTAAATCAATTTGAGTCTCTGATGCGCAAATACTCTTGTCAGAGGAGCAGGGCTGTTACTCAACAGGACGCCTCCGCAGCGTGACCCGGAGCGTGTCCTTGACTGACGTTCGCCGGTGCTCAGGGAGGGCCGTCACCGAGCAGTGTCGGTGCCAGCTCAGGCTCCCAGGCGCCCGGCCTCGACGCCTGCTGCACAGACTCGTTTCAAGCCCTCGCGTTAAGTGTAGAGCAGGGGGTGACACCGCGGGGGTAGAGCCCGGGGGCAGCGGGGTGGGGATGCTCCAATGGGGCCTC